ATAAAAGCTGCTTCCTGGCGCAAGGTTTCCGGCATCCGGTTCCTTCCAAACGCTGCTGGCGAGGGGTGGCAGGGGGATCCCAGAAATATGTGATACTTCTAACCCAGCGTCTGAGCGCTGGCCTTATCTGCCAGCTGCTCCCACCGGCTGCAGGGTGGCCATGGCCATGCCTGCGGCTCTGCCACCGGCTGAGGGGACTGATGTAGCCTGTGCTGGGGTCACCCGTGCCCAGTGGGGGCTGCGAGAGCCCTCTGCACCCACCAATGCTGCGCCTGCCTGGCTGCGTGTGCAACAGCATGGAGCCAGCGGCACCCGTCAGCTCCAGCGCTCTTGGCCTCCCCCTTCCTTCAAAGGGCTCGGCCATGACTTGGCTGCATTTAGCACTTGAGCCTTTCACTGCTTTTGCTTAACCCCTGGTCGTGGTACGGGCATCTGGCACCTCCATGCAGCGTTCAGGCAGCGGAGACCAGTCCTCGTAGGCAGCGTTAAACCAACACGCTGCTGCTTTTGCACCAAAGCCCCATGCTTCCCTGCAAGCCCATCCACATGCAACTGCAAAACCTGCAGCTGCCCTAGACTATTTCTACAGCTCTAAAGACCTCGCTGCCCTTAAAGCCTCCGTGCCAATGGCACAAACTGCATCAACTCAGAGCAGATCTCCCAGGCAGCTGCACCACACGGCATTGCTGCTGCACGTCTCCTATAGGACCGTGGCCTTTTCCATAGGGAACCGGGCAGATAAACACCAGCTTTTGCTGCTATTATTTCTGCTATTAATTCTGCTTTTCCTGCTCGACGAGGGACACAAAGCCTTAGCGCAGTCCCTTGGTTTCAACAAGACAGCCTTTGGTGCAGACCCACGTGCCCAGGCAGCGGCGATGCAGCTGACCCAGAGCCACCGGTGAGCAGCTCGCCCGGGGGAACACCCAGCACCCGCAGGAGCCCCGCCACGACCTGAGAAATGGATTTTTTACTGCCAGCAGCTTTGCAGCCAGCTGAGGAGTGGCTGACCACCGCTCTTGAACCAAAGACACATGGAAGCTCAGACTGGGTGAAAGCCCAAGGGACCAAAGGGTCACAAATGCCCCTCACCTGGGCAGGGGAGCAGGTGCTCACCCTGGCTTCTCCCCTTGAGGTCTCTGGGGCCAACTTGGGCTGGAAAATACAGAAATGGAGCACAGCAGGCCCAGCAGAGGCTGGAGTTGGTAGGTCTGTACTGGAGCCAACATACAGGCACATGCCACCCCATGTCCCGCGGGGACAGGCACAGCCCAGTGGCAGGGGCACACAGAGGCACTAAGGGCTGAGAAACCTCTGCCAAAAAACTGCCAGGAATTGGCCTGGAAGGACCCAGCGAGCAAGAGGGATCCCTTCAGGTATTTGGTCCCCCTCTGCAAGGTTCCCAGGGATGCCTGTGCAGGTGGAGGCACCAGCACAGGCAGCTGCCTCGGGGCAGGGATGCGCCACCTCCATGATGTGCCCTACCGGGGGTCCCCAAACCTACAGGGTGCGTTGTGCTCCGGGAGGCAGTCCTGCGTACTTCTCACCTCCTCTGCCCCACAGGTATGGGAGCTGCCTCAGAGTCTGGTAGCTGCAACCTGCATGCCAGGCTCCCGTTAGAAGTCCTGGCACACCCAGCAGCCCTTCCTCCCCCCATCCCCATCCTACTGACCCTCACAGGCTCCTCCAGGTTGTCTTTGTCCATTTGTCTCTGCCTGTGCTCTGCTCTGCTTCTGGTACCAACAGCATCCCAACAGTGGCTGGTCCAGGGCCCGAACATCTTCCCTGTGCCCACTGTTCAGGCTCAGGAGGATACATCAAGTAGACGTATGTTCTGGGTGGTTTTTAATTCACGGTAAGAAGTAAATTGGAGTAAGTTTAGCACAGATGGGAAGTGAGCCAAGCTGTGCTGGACTGAATTCTGCATGTCCTTCTCTGCCCCACCCCACCAAGCCCCACACCTTTACGGCCCAGGGTGGCTTGGGCTCTGGGGAACACATTGTCTGGTCCCTGCCTTGAAAGGAGCTGGAGGGAGAAGCAGGATTTTCTCGGAGACCTTGCAACACAGTTTGACTACTCACAATTCATAGCCCCACATGAGTTGGATGCCACTATGATCTACCATGTGATGCTGAAGCAGAGCAATTGCTTGCATGAGCTCCTGTTTCCAAGAGAGTGGGCTGTAGCAATTCAAACCAGTGGGGAACAAGCAAAATTAAACTGAACAATATTTTGGGCTTTTTCTCTTGGTAAATATGGAAACAGAGCTGCAGCTATTTAGCTTGAAAACTATTCAATCAGTGCTGTTTCCCACACAGACAATACTATAGTCTTTGAGGGGCCAGGCTGAATTCATGCCAGAAAAAGCAGAGGTGAATAGCTGAGTCTCCCACGAGCCCCACGTCTTTGTGCAGCTGTATGGAAACGAGCGGTCATGGCTGCCAGCCCCACCGCACACCACTGCCTTCTTGAGGATGTTTTGTGCTTATGGTGTTTGCTGCCACAGTGCCAGATCTCAGGAAACGATGAATTTACTGGTCACCCAGTGCCTCTGCTTTTCAGCAAAATGACTCAGGTATGGAGCAATGCAAAGTAAGAGAGTGCTATTGTTATTCTAGCCAAGGCCAGACAAAAGCTATTTCAGCCTCTGGTTAAAATCCTACTTTTTCGCTCTAAGCGCATTTACTGGAAAAGTGTCAAAGACAAAGAATGTAGAAACGTCCCTACAAATAGCATAGCAGTTCCCAGGAGTGAGTTTCTGTAGTAAAGCTGCACAATTCCTGCCAATCCCTCCGGCCACGGCAGGAGCTGGTTTGGGTATTCCCTTGACACACCATCCTTGCTGGAGAACCAAGCAACAAAAGGGGCAGAAAAGGTTCCAGCGAAGCCTCCTTCCTCTCCTTTCCTGACTCAAGTAGTGGAAACTCTGCCAGTCACCCTGCAAAGAGTCAGGTTTTGTAAAAACGAGTGATACACCACACTGCCCCACTCTTCAGGCACCCACCTTTTGCCCCTGTCAATACAGCTCAACATTTTCCTTCATCTTTTAGAGAAGAGCTCGTGTCACGTTGTCCCTGTGGATTCTGCCAATCGGAAGAAAAGCTGAAGTTAAAAAAACCCGAACAAGTGCAAAAGTACAGGTGCAGGAGGGAGCAGAGGTGGGAATTCAGAACGAAAATTTGCTGCAGGGTCTGACTGCCCAAGCAGCGATGGTGCTCACTGCCCTGCAGAAGCTCTCGGTACAAACCCCAGCCCAGCTGCTGACTCGGCACACAGCCTTGGCCAAACGGCTCGACCTCCGCACCTCGCTGCAGCACCCTGGGGACAGGCCAGAGCCAGCTTCTCCCAGCCCAGGAGGTCTCAACAACAGCAGGGAGCAGCAGCAGGGCAGCCTGAGAACTGGATTCGGGTCGAGTGGTGAATGGAGGCTGGAGAGCTTCACTCCTGCTTAGGGTAAAACTAAAAGGGTTACGCTCAGCCCTTCCTAGAAGCCAGGAAATTGTTCTTTCTTTTGTGTCCGATGTTATGGTGGGAAATTGTAGCAAAACAGGCAGTGCAAAGGCAGTGCTTGGAAGGGCAGCGGTCTCTTCTGCACTCTGCACGGCAGTGGTCCTGCATGGACTGCAGCAAGCTCTGCCAAAAACTTGGAGTAGAAAGGGAAAGCGGGTAGTTATCTCTGCAGCCTGCTGCCGCGAAAGGAAACTGCCCCTTGTATCAATCTGTAACAAGGACTCCTGCTGACAAGGGAGTCCTTGCCACACCTCTGTTGCCTTCCTTGTAATCAAAAGCTCTTTTCTTTCATAATAATCTCCATTTTAATCTAGTACAAAAAAGCACTTTATGGACTTCATTAAACTGCCTATTCCAGCTCTAGCAATACTGTGAACTTGATAACTCAAAAATGTGCTGGAGTAGAAGTTAGGTAGAAGGGATCAATAACAATTTATCAGGAAAAGGCCAGCCCAGGAGAAGCAAGAGGTTTCAATAAGACACAAGAAACTCAGCTTGAGGAAAGTACCATCATATCCCCTGTTCCAGGAATGAAACACGTGTTATTTCAAACTTATACACTGCAAAATGTTTGCAAACCAAATTCCCCCCTATTATTCTTTCAAACTAGTTTGAACTTCCTATGATTTAACAATGATGTAATCATATCCGCAAAGATCCCAGAGTTCCTCACGAGCATCTTAAAGTAGGAATGAATCATTTCCTTGTACGACAATTAACTTTGCAATGCCATGATCTTGGAAACGACAGTTGAAGAGTCAAAGGCAAGCACTCAAAAGAAAATAAAAGCATTTAATGCAAAACATTTTACCAAAAGTTTTTACAGCAATTTCATATAAATGGAGTCTTCTCTTAAAACGTGAAACCACCAATATAAATGTACTGTTACAAAGCTGATTACAAAACTGTCTCCTCAGCCACACAGAGAGGTAGGGAGGGTATTTCTGTCACCTGAAAACACTGAAGATGAACTGAAAAGTAATGTTCAGGATCTAGCCTGCTTCATTTAAGTGATGGTAACACACATACGTTTTTGGATTAAAACTTCACAGGCTGATATATCTTTACCTCATAAGGCCTTTATTAAGCATCCTAATAATTTGTGGGTATGCAACAGAAATACCCAAGATGCCTGTCAGCTATATTATATGGTTTTCCCTAATGATGGGAAGACTGATGTCAGGGCAGACTACGGTGTGTGTTTCCCTGCAAGGAGAAAGCTTTAGGGATGGTTAAACATGGCTGCTCCCACGTTTCTGGGACCCGAGGGCAGGTTTGAACTGGTGCATCCTGGCCCCTCTGGCTGCCCAGTGGCTCTGGGAAGGCCAGCCGCTGGGAGGAACAAGTGGTGCAGCTACCCAGGCTGGGATCTGCTGCTTCCCAGGCTGTCAGAGACTTAAACGGGCACAGAGAGAGCTCATTTTGGAGGGAGCAAGGCCCTATGGAGACTGACAGCAGTCAGTCCAACCAGGAACGTGGCAGGGCCACAAAGAGCAAGAGACAAAATTGGTCCTTGTTGAGAATGAGCAAAAGGCAGCTGGAAGGGAAGGGCAGGATGGGCTGGAACCCTCTCCTCCCCTCCGCAAAGTGCTACAGTAGTACAGGCGTTTCCCCAGCACATTAATTCATTCGTTCATTTGGCAGACTCGGCTTGTCTGGAAACGATTACCTGTAAAAGGAGCTCTTTCACCAATGTAGCTGTTCACTGAAGTAGCATCCTGCGAGGCTGGGCTCTGCCTGGTCTGCTGCCAGCCAAGCAGAGAAAGGCTGTAGCTAACCCCCAGCGGAGCTGGGCTGCCTGCTCCCTGCTCAGCAAAACAACAACAACAAAAAGGCCTTCGAGGAAGATGCAGTGGGGGGAACACAGCTCTCTAGAAAACAAAGCCACATTAACCAGCCTTAACAAAGCAACGGTTTTCTTCCGCAGTGGAAGGGGAGGCTGGTGCCTTCCCTCCCCAGGACAAACTGTCTTTCGGGCTCTTGGGGACATGTGGGAAGCTGCCCTTTCTTTTTTTTGCTGTGCTGCTCCAGTGCTAGGCTCCCCACGCTGCTACCAGGAGCTGAAGTCCCCGAAGCCTGTGCTCTTTTTCTCTTTCTTCACAGCTGTGCTGGTTGAGGGCCCGTCATCTTCCACACTGCGCTTCCTGGAGCCAAAAGGAAAACAACTCTCAGGGACTATTTACTGTTCGGTGGGACCAGGGCAGCTGGATGCCCTTCCTCTCCCAGCAACAGCTATGCTGGAGCCAGCCCATCCCTTATAAATTAGGAAGGAGTGCACGCTCTGTGCCAGCATGGGGACTGCAGGGGGGGTAGGGATAGGGGCCTTTGGCTTACCCAAAAAGAGGGAGAGTGTGTCAGTTTGTGGGGATGGTTTGGGTCAGGCTTTGAACACTGCCACGAATGTGTTCAAAACCCAACAAGTTCTCCAGGCCAGAGCTGAAGATTTAACAGCTGTATTTTTTTAGCACAGTCATGATGCAAATTTGAGCCACAAGTTCTCTCCCCGCCTTCTCACCTGCATTTGTGGCAGCAAAAGGATTTATGGGGAATTAGGTGTAAAGCAGCTGGGCAAGTTTTTCAGATCCTTTCCTGTTTCTCGAGCACAGCCTGTTGCAGTCGCTGCTGCTATTCTCAGGCTCTTTAGAGCAGAGTTTGCAACCCCATGGAAACACTACGCAGCCAGGTCACGTACTGTGGTTTTATTGTCAGATATCAGTAGTCGATAGGGAGGACTGAGAACCCTGAACCTGCCAAACTCCTGCTCCGGACCAAACTCCCAGTTTCAAGGCAGGCTGCAATGAGTGACAGACTAGGAAAGAAAAGTCCTTTCTATACTACTTGGCCCTTTCCACAGAGCTGCAAACTCTGCTTAGGTTTCCTTTGTAAGTACAGTGCAGAATGGCAGAAGTTTTATGTTGAACATACTGTTTTAAGAGACAAGCAGTATTTTGTAACTGAAACATTTTACTGACACACCAAACTGACCTACAAGGGCTAACATATTTTTGTTCTCACAGTTACACAAATGCCTGTAAGTCAGAGGCACATACAAGATGATTAAATAGCTGTCCAGATCTGTGTATGCATAAATACATGCCTTTACACAGCTGACAGACAACAGCATTTTTGCAAATGCTTTTAGAGAAGTCTGCTAAAACTCAAGTGGAAGGCATTTATTTTAATTTTTCCAAAACTCGTGCTAAGCTGCTGTTCAGGTGGGATTCTGTACTGTCCTTAGGAAAGCAAGCGATGCTGCCAATCCCAACGGGTGTACAAAGAGTGTCTGGGAGAGGATGCTTTAGGACAAGCCCGTACAACCAGCCAGGTATCCTGGAGCTACTTGCCAGATGCACTGTGCTCCCACAGCAAGCCTGGGAACCTGCTCCCCTTTCCAGCCATTTCATTGTACTGGTACAGCTGTTTGCGTGGCTGAACAGGGAACCAGATCAGCAGACTGATAGGGGTTTAAGGCAACTACTTTGTGCAGGGGAGAAGCTGCTGAAAGACAAACATCTGTGGGACCGTGGCCTTCAGAAATAGCTGCAGAACAGGAAGAGAAGATGGTGTAGGAAGTAACACAGTACAGTTACTCAAGGATGCCTGAGTTGTGGAAATGTAACTACAGTTCTGAAGTCAGCATACACTGTTAAAGACCAACTTGGTCATGTTCAAGAGCTAAAAGAAAAGCTCAGCTAACTTGTAATCTTGCAAAACAATGGAAGTACAGGAAACTCTTGACTGTTAAGACTGCATGAAGGTGTCTTTGCAAAGCCTGCTGGCACAAACCAAACACGGCACCGGACAGAGTCAGGGTCCAGCAGGAAAGGCAACTAAATCAACAAAGATCAGATCGGCAGAGAACTCACGTTGCAGCCATGTTAATGTATTTTCCAATCCCCTGCCGGTAAGTTTTAGGAGTCTGGACCTCTTTCTTTGGTGGAACCACCTCAGCTTTTGTTTTGGCTGCTTCTTCTTCTAGCTGGACCTTCTCTCTTTCAGCAGCAACCTGTGGGAAGCAAAGAGTGCAATCTGTTGTAAAAGCTAATCCAGAATAAGGAGAAAATGTCTCAAATTCTTTGAAGCTTTAATGCACTCTAAAACAGCAATCAGCACTGCTGTGATTACAGGGCAGGCTTTAGGAAGCAGACCTCAAGGGCCACTACAAACAGGCTGTCTGCAGCCATTATAATAAGACTCCTCTCTTCTCACCTGCTACTCTTCTCATTCGGTACTGTGGGAATTTGGAAAGGAGACCATCAGAAGCGTGATGGGCTGGGAGCCGTGCCAGACTCAGTTGAAAGACCTCTCTGCTGAAAGAGTGGCAATGATCCTAGCACGCAAGGCAATGCTGAACTGCAGCTGTTTAATCTTAACTTGCAACCATATGGGCCAGGGGGTTGCCCATGTTAAAAGACACGACACTAAGCTACAAAGTTTTCCAAACAAGAGCTTTGGCCTTTCAAAAAAACCCCAACCAACCAACCATCCTCACCTGGGCATCTGCCTCTTCATATGGATCTACAAAAACGGTTGTTGTCTGAATTCGTATTTCCTCCTGGGAGCAGAAGAGAAGAAGAGCAAGTCAATCTGCTAATTAAGTTGTGCCATCTCCCCCAAGTTCGGTTTTGAGAGAAGCAGCAGTGGGGTGAACCGCACTGCCACGCGAGGCCATACGCATTCACGCCCTCCTGCACAGCCCCTGGTGCCTCACACGTACCTTGGGACGGTCTGTTTTTGGGTCACTTTCCACATTCTCCATAGCAGTCAGAGTCTCAAAGCCACCAACCACCCTAAAAGAGGAAGAATACCTTTTCCAGCTGTCACAACACACTCAAAATACTCCTGCACCCTTACACCTAATATATCTAATTTATGCCCATTACTCTAGCAGATTTTTTTAAACCCTTGTGTTTGGGGGAAGGGGAATCAGCAACTGTATTTGGAAGACCTAAGATAATGTCATTCAGCATGGAAAGTAAGAATTTTTTCTCAAATCTGGGGTTTGAATTTAAAATTAAACAGAACATGGAAAAGTCAAACACTCAGAGGCAAAGCCAAGCCATTTGTCCAAAAACCCAGTAGCCGCACAAACCAGCCAGATGGAGAACAAGTGACTGTGGACAGCCGTCTGTGCAGAAAGACACAAACCCATTCCAAAATGGGTTCACGTGCTAATGCTACATCCATAAATTTGGAGCTCATTTGTTACTCTCATGACCCTTGAAAAATAACCTAACAGACTTGGTCAAGAAAGCAAATGTTTTAATTAACTTCTCATTTTTTACCTTTTTTTCTTTAAATTGTATATCAAACCAAAGAGTAATATTAGGAAAAAAGGGAATCGTAACTGCAGGACTACTGGAGAGTTGTCCGTAGCAACACCAGTAAACGCAGAAAGTGCAGGACTGCTCCAAAAGCATATCACAACTGTGAGCTCCTGAGGCCTCTGGGAAAGCAGCAGAGCATCAAGTCACAGCCACAAGATAATGCCAGGACACTTTTCATCGCAGTTTTTATTTATGAGGATGTTAGATCCCCAGCCTCTCATTTTTCAAGTCAACGTATCCAAATACTTGCTTCAAAATGTTTAAGAAAGGCTGAAGACTTTCTGGACTGCTGTATGTTCATTTTCAAAAAAAGTGTGGAACAATGGGAAAGTTCCAGAAAAGGATATTTAGAAAGGATAAATAGGGTGACCCAGATAATTATAAGCCTGTCATCCTGGCATCTATCCCAGCAAAATAATGGAATAGCGGAGACAGGACATGATTAAGAAAGAAAGGAAGTAAGTAACGGCAATCAACAAGGTTTTGTGGAAAACAGAGTCTGTCAATCTTCTATCTTTGAGACGACAGATGTGGTTAACAGGGATAACAGTGTCCATGGAACAGACTTCTGGAAGGCGGCTGATATTTTGATTGAGAAACCAGAACGATATGAAGTGAACACAGCACACATTAAACAAAAAAATTGGCTGACAGGTGTCAAAATCTAATTTTAAATAAGAACCACTGAGTCAGTACGTTTCCAGAGGGGTCCTGCTGGGATCAGATCTTGGTCCCAGGGTATTTAACACTTTTATCCACATCATCATCATCCCCAATTAAATTTGAAAACAGCTATACTTAGAAGAGCAGTAAATAAAGATGAAGACAGGCCGCTGATGCCGAGCAATCCAGATCCCTTAGAAAAGCAGGCTGTAGCTGGACAACATCTGTTTTAACAGAGCCAAGCCACATGGCCAGGAACCAAAAATACAGCCCATATTAATGGCAGTGGGACAATGAGAAGCAGCCGTAATTCTCAAAACCACAGTTCCTGGAGCCAGAGGAGTTTGGGGCCGGGAGCTCAGCAGCGAGGGCAGGAGTGGGCTATCGAGGAGCCCAGGGCTGCCCGTGGGATGGGGCAATCCGACAGCCAGCAATCCTCCAGCCTTCGCAGGGTGACAACTGTTGTGAAGCCTGATTGCTGAGATTACTCCGGTACCAGCACAGGTAGGCTGTCAAGGGCTGGGCAGATGAGGTGGAGGAAAATCAAGTTAAATGAAACTAGTGGGGAAAAAAATTAAAGTGAAACTGGTGGAATACGTAGAGTGTTTTATCACCTAACTCTGCTTTCATATCAGAGAAATGAACAATACCTCAACCAAAAGACACATCATATTCACAGGTATTTGACACTTCTACTGCGAGATCTCACTCTTGCAGGTGTTTCACAGCCAGGCAGCCCTCTCCAGTCCCGGCACTCCAGTTTGCCCAGCCAGCACCAGGAGAGGCCCCTGGCTATCACGTGTGAGGGTCTCAGCTGATCCAACAGAGAAATACACCTTCTACTACCACTCCTCCCCACACCACTTACACGCCTCACGCACTCCCCCCAAGAGCCACATTAACCAAATGTAACAGGCTGACCATTGTGGTTTGAGAGGCGAGTGGGTCCTTCTCCTTCCACGCCCCTCGTGCTTAGCACAGCACCACTGCTCCTCAGTGCGGCCCCACGGGCTGGGACAGGCACTAAATGTGACCCAAAGGACACCTCATCACAGAAAATAAAACCATGCAAGTGAAAGAGGATGCTGCTCAGCACCTGCCTTGAGCAGAGCCATCCTTGTGAACATTTTGTTGCTGCTGCGCTGCTCCAAACTTCTCCCCTTTATTCCTCAAGGGCCTGTTGATATTCTGTAATCAGGTTGTGACTTTTAAGAGAAATTTAAAAACATATATGCAGGCTGAAGCGGCCTCATTCATTTGCAACTGGAGGCAGCACACTGGGGGAAACGGCACAGGGCTTGAAGACCCTGCATGAACTTTGGAAAGTTCATAACAAAACCTCAATTTTAAAATCCTCCTCCAGGCCAATATCAGATTCACTTATAATACTGATGATTAACACACAGCCTAAGATATATTCACTGTATTTTAATTGCCCCTAAAGGAAACTTCTGATTTAATATTGGAGAATTTTCTGGCCAACAGCTCCACTCATTATCTGCTCGTATGTTTTCATTTAATTAGGTTCTGATAATTTGAAATAGCCACATCAGCTATGCACTGGCAATCTCAACTAAGTAATCCCTTAGCCCATAGCTAGACCTCCCACAATATTAGCTCTAATGCACTTTGGTGATGCTCACAAATCTTCAGTCGCTATGCTGATTAAACATAATTGGGAATACTTTGTCACTTGTACATTTTAGAAGGCTGTGATAGACATGGCATTCACAGGTCATCAGTAAACGACCTAAATAGTCTATTTTAGCATGATTATAAAAGGCTAAGGGGGAAGAAGACAAAGTTGTTATGCCTGCAGAGCATGTCATTCTCTTTTCTTCTTAGCTTCTTGTCTCTAAAATGGAAAATTGCTTTCTTTTACACCCCTGCCTTCTCTAACATTTTGCACAGCAAGTATTTCTATGCCAGCAGAGTAAGCTCTCACTACAGGTTTATGTCTGTAGACAAAGCCATAATACCAATCAAAAATAAAAATGAATTTAGATACAAACCACCGGCTCAGAGGACAGAACACAGGAACCAGAAATAATTTACTAGTCACTTTTGTTCAGGGAGCCTTGTCAAGGATCAGGCCCAGCAGAGGCTGATGTTTCATCAGTAAACATTAAAATCCAAAAAAAGACAAGATCTGATTGCAAACATCACCCATCCAGTAAAAAATGAACTACACACTAATCAGGGCAGTCATGGTTGGATGCAAAAAAATGGAATATTCCAACTTAAGGTCTCAAACAGTAAAGGATTTTGCAAACGTTCCTCTGATTTTTCTAAGTAGAGACATGATGTACATGCAGGCTCTCAAAACATTACATGTTGTTATTGTCAAATTTCATGATGTTACATTGCTGCACTAAAATCAGTTTGACAAGACATAATGCGTGTAATCCCATGCACTGGCATCCGTTACAGCAATTGCTCCGCACTCAATGAGGAAACCAACATGCTGGAGTGGTTTGGGGGATTCTTTGCCTGTCCCACTACACATATTCTGTATGCAAGAAGAAAAGCCCAGACATGCCAAGAAAAACGCCTATACAAGTTATATGTAGAAAAGACCATCAGATCAGAACATTAAAGCATTAAAAACTCTAAAGAGAGAGCCACTACTTAATATTATTCTAATATCCACTACCTTTGAACAAAAAGAGGTAAGACCTGTTCTATAAATAAATCTGAGTCTCAGCATAAGGAACTCTACATGGTTTTCATTAAAACAAAATGCAAGCTCCAGAAGTTCAAACTAATATCCCTCTGTACCCTTTACATGTGCTAAGTGTGTTACACTGACGGTGACAGGTCACACTGCGTTAGCCTTTCTCCTTCAGCTTCACTTGTGCTAAGTTGGGAGCACAGCAGAGAAGAGAAGGGAGAAGGGCAGAAACAAGTTTAACCTTTTCTACTGTTTCTGGCTCTATTCCTGTTATAAGGTGCCACGCATGCTTTGTCCTAAATTGACCAAGTCAGGTTTAAACAGATGTTCAGATGACATCCTACAGGGAAAAGGATGATACCTTCAAGACACCATTTACATTAGAACAACCAGTGAAACCGAGGGTTTGCTGTGTACTTCCAGTAGATGTTGAACAGAAATGATGATCTCAACTATATATTTAGCTCAGCATCCCTGAGACAGCTTGTTGTATTTTTAGAGGAGCTTGATAAATGTTGCATTACATTTAAGCATGGACGACAAGGTTGGTACATTTAAGTTTTTTTCTGTTAGCATAGTAATGAAAACAAAAATGTGCCCTTACTCGTGCAATACTGTTTTCTTGAAAACTGAGCTAAGTTAGCGCCGGAAAATCTTTGCATTTCAAATTTAGAGATGTTATTTAGAATCATACTTCCTGTTAAGGCTCCTTTATGCAAACTAGTAACCTTGCTTCATAACCACTGCCAATGTCTTTGCATGAAGTATAAGTGAAATATCTTGAGCAAGCTTGATCTATTTCATAGAATGGTTTGGGTTGAAAGGGACCTTAAAGATCATCTAGTTCCAACCCCCCTGCTGCGGGCAGGGACATCCTCCACTAGACCACGTTGCCCAAAGCTTCATCCAACCTGGTCTTGAACACTTCCAGGGATGGGGCCTCCACAACCTCTCTGGGCAACCTGTTCCAGTGCCTCACCACTCTAATAACAGTAAAGAATTTCTTTCTAACATCTAATCTAAATCGACCCTCCTTCAGCTTAGCACAATATGCCAATGAAAATCTCACTGCTACATTAGTGAGTGCTGCTCCTAAAGAAAACTGCAGCTCCCTAGCAGGCCCACAGAC